TGAGGAGGGAATGACGTCAGCTTCATGCAGTGATAAGAAGTCGTCATCAAAGCCGAGGTCGAAAGCAGAAGTGTTGGTTAAGCATAGAAGGAATGAAGTAGGATTGGAGGGAAGGGGGACGAACAAGGAAAGCAAAGAAGAAACACCTGAGCCCACCTGTTCTGCGAAGTCCTGTTCGCTCAGGCGTCCCTCGTCGAAGAAGAAGAGCTCCACTCGGAAGGGTAGGTTCCGCCCCTCGACGTATCTACAGGCCACTTGGAACGTGTCTGCCAACGTCAGCCCCGCGTCGATGATCATCTGGGCGGGAAGGTCCGCATAGTGGAACACGTCCTCTACAGTTGTTGGGACGCTCAGAGCGGCAATTGCAAACGCGATAGCTGCATAACAGGTAGAGGATTCGAATGGGTCAGACTAATTCAGCAGAAAAAAGCAGGATTGTTGCGATGTCACGGCAGCAGCCTGATTGAGCTTTCCTAAACAGTCGTGGAAATGGCGTACCCTGGCAGGATTTGTTTTTTTTGGGAAAGAGACGAGCCTAGAGTTATTCGACCAAAAGCACGCCTCTCCGGTAAGTGGCACGCTCACGTAAGCCGTCAGAACGAGAGGACGGGCAAGTCACCCCAGATCTTGAAGGGCGTCTGCGAATCTAGACGGAAAGTCTTCCCGCTTTCTTGCTGCGTCATTCCATTTGCTTGGCGAGCCTGACCGGCCACAACGGCACCAAACATCAATCAGGACCCACGCCCACGTTCGTTTCACCGGTCACTTTTGGTTGGTAAAGCCTTGTCGGCACTCGGGAATGGAGAAAATGACTTCCTCTTTCTGGAACCTTTCTCCGGCTATCACCCCTTCCCTCGATGGTTATTGCCATGAGCAGCTTCCAGCCGTCGGTCGACGGGGCGATAGCCAAGGCGGGGTCGAATTTTGGCGACGGAAGGCCATGCTTCTGAGCCTCGGGCTCTGTCAGTTTGGGACACTTGAAGGAAGCTGTGACCCAAAGCGGCGGAAGCGTCTCACCTGTGATGTTACAGCAATTGAGCGGCTGCTGGAACTCGTACAAGTGGACCATGTCGAGCGCTTGCCGCCGCCCGCTGTGCTCGAACGCCTGCCCCGACAACGTGGTTCCGCCACGTGTGATGAACGACGCCTGCGGAAGGTAGGTTTGTACCATCTGATATCTATGAGCAGTCGACGGCTCCTAGGAATTGATTGGTGCAAGGAGGGTGTGTACCAGATGGCAGTCAACGAGCAAATCGACGGCTCCTAGGAGACGAGTGGTAACAGTAGGATTGCGACAGCGGCAGTCACTGTGCAGTCGTTGCGACAGACGGCAGTCACTGTGCAATCCACGGCATTTAAGAGATGGTGAAACGGTCAAACCTGAACTCGACTCCAAAGCCTGCTACCATTCGCCAAGCCCCTCTTGAGAATGATCCTTGCTCAAAGACCGCTTACCAACACAGGCACAACTGACGTGTTACATTACGTCAATCTGCTAACGAAAGATGGACTTCACAGACCTTTCTGAAAGGGGCTTGGCCATCCAGCGCAACCGAACAATCTGCAGAAGTATTCCTTCAAAGCTGTCAGAGATGTCCAGTCCTCAAGTAAGGCATGGACTACGGTTCCTCAAACCTTTGCCTGAATGGTTTTGCGAACTTGCCTGCGACTTGCCCTCCGCCCAACTGGCCTGTCCCCCGCTTGGCAACGCCACCGGCAGAGGCCCAGGGACGTCGGCTCCCTCCGTGCTTCGACGGGAGGACTGGGTGATGAGCTGGCTGAAGGGGTCTCCATCGGAAGATTGAGGGGGGGTGAGGGGGCCGCTGTCCAAAGGTCGGAGTGAGGGGGAGACGGTGGGGACGGGAGAGCCGTCGAGGGAGCGACGGGAGGAAAGCGAAGAGGGGGTCTGCAAGTAAGGAGGGGTTGAGTCTTCAGCCGTCCAATCAATGACAGGAGAAACTTCAGAGGGTCCTGAATCACACAAATTCTGCTTTTGCTTTCTTGCATTCAACGCAACGCCTGGCGGAGTCTTTGAGAAACCGACGAATCGTGCGATAAGGCTCCGTGCTCGTCACTAACAAGGTCCAAACGCGGTCTGCTGCAAGCAATGGCACCACGGCTGATGTGGGGACTGTCTCAGGCACTGAACACCCCAGGAGCTTCAGAAAAGTGCAAACTATTAATTGCACGCTGCGGTGCTTGCCAAACCAGCACGTGGCAACCGCACGGTTGACGCCCACTATTCGCACGCCTAAACATTTTGGACAGACTCCTGTCAGGCAGCCACGTGGCATTCTCAGGAGGAGAGAGTGGCACACCGCATTGTAGGTCATGTACTTGTCGGCGTTGGGGGTGAAGCGGTACAGCGAGTCCGTGTTTTTGAACGACTGGTTCTTGTTCACGTGCTGGATAAGCTGCAACAGGACTCAGAAACTTAGAACAGCGTTCGCTGAACCACTTGTACAAACCATCATTTGAAACATTATCTGTAATCTGTAAGCCCCATAAGGTTGAGATTATGGGGCGCAGTCTCTTTGCGCTGCTGCGACACCAAGCAAAGAAAAGCAAGCCAAAACAGAAAGTCTGGCTCATCATTTATCAACACGGGAGGACTTCAGGGGCTTCTCGGAGTAACAAAGTGTGCCAACTTCTCTCCCATGATCAACATTTCCGAAAATGGATCAAACCCAAATATCCTTGAAAAACAAACTTCAACATGGAGTTGCCACCAGTGTAGGTGCAGCCCCAACCTGCGCCCTCCTGGACGTTCCCAGCTCATGAAAAACCAAACACTCTTCTTTGTCAGGTCTGAAATTACCAGCCTGTTCTCCGATTACTTCCTCTGGCAAGAATTCGCCCCCAGTCACAAAGCCGCCAGCCACATGGTATCAGCACTGTCAGCGATTGAAAGGAACCCTTAACATACATGGAAAAACCCTAGATACCCATAGGTCTTTATGAGCCAAATGCGCCATCTCAAGCTCGCTAGCTCTTGTTGTCCCGACAACATATTCTTTCGCCTTGATCTAAGAACCATGCCCAAACCTTGATTCTATCCTGGAAGGCGTTAAGCTAAGCAGATCCCCCAGCTTTGAAGAGCCCCTTTCAAACCTGACCGCCACCTCTGTCAACACCGCCAGTATGGCGAACTAATGCCTTTTCCCTACAGCACACGACCTCAACGACCTAAGACTTGCAACGCCGCTTCTTCAACAAGGTTAAGCTAAACTCTCACCTCCTCCTGCATTAGCGCGTTCCCAATCGCAACTGCCCACTCCTCCGACGTTGCCAGCCCCGTTGTAAGAAGCACCTTGACTGCAGCCACCCCCTCAAAGCAGTCCTTGTACTTGCGCAGGTTCACCGTGCGATCCTTGATCACAAGGCCCTGTCTTAGGGCGCTAACCACGTTCGTAAGGTCTTCTTCTTCAAGCACCATCTCCCTGGGTGACGACTCGTTTATTGAGGCTTGGGGCCTGGAAAACGATAGAACCTGGGGCTTTCATTCTGAGGCTTTCATTTTGGGGCCTTGGTGGAAAACACGACTTTGGTGTGGGGCTTGAATTAGATTAGTAAGAGGTTGGCATGAGCAAGAGTTATGCAGATCCCACGTTGGTCCCATAGGTTTGAGGACACCGCAGCTGCAAAGTGCAATCCAAATTTTGGCCCCTCATAGAGCTGAAGCTTTGACTGATGATGTAGAACGTTGTCAAAGACTTGCAGAGTTTGAATCAACTTCTGAGCATCCCAATCGGGCTCTCAGAGGTACAGCTAAGCACCACCACCACGAATGGATGAACAAGCTGCACTCCCCACAAAGCATGGCTGTTACTGTTGTCCGCTGGTCTGCGCTAAAAGAAGGAACCTACGAGCAAAAGTGCCTGGAAAGGGGTCGCAACCAGTCAGTTAGGAAAGGGACTGATACTATAAGGATGCCTTGTCGCACATGTTCGAACTGGAGAGTCTGGGGGCACTACTTGGATCACACAAGCGGCCAAAATTTTATGGAATTTGGCAACGACTTAAACCTGAAGAGTGGAGGAGACAAACGCTTGCAGAAATAGAATGTGACTCAGTTGTGCGGACGCAAGCGAAAGTATGATTCCTTACAGCAAAGAGGAGGAGAACGTGTACAGCGCACTCGTAGAGTTCTTAAAGCCGGGGGAGCCTGGGGAGCTGTCAACCGCCTGTTTGATGACTCCTGCCTGCAGGGGGCACAAGACAAAGTGGTTGGTTCCGAGAGTCTCCTGCAAGCTAGCGAGCTTTGCGCTTGCAGCCGGCATTGGGTGCAAATGACTCTATTGACCGGATCCCTGGAGCTCTTTCGCTGACTGAGGTGCAAGCCAAGCCCAGGATTGGGCAACACTGTCAGAAGTAAAGCGTTAGAGACCCGACACAAAGATCAAGACTTGAGGTTCTGTGACACAATCCTTGTGCTGGCCAAAGGTGTGCGAACAAACTTAAGGTTTTATCATGCATTTGCCTTGGCTGGTACAATGCTTCTGCCTTGAAAAATGACATAGGAGTGCCCCGGAACTCCCTCAGACCTTGTCATGCATTAGCGGTGGCGCCTGGTTTATGTCTCAGCTTTGCAGAGTTGCGGATGAAAGTTGTCCACTTCGAAAACTGATATGAAGCTCATAAAGCTTCGTGCATTTGAGCAACAACACAACACTTTTGCAAGTCTTGCTGCAAACCAGCAAATATTCTGAAGCAATCATTGGGAGAGGGGAACAATTGCTTACAAGAAGCAGCGAGGATTCTGTAACTCCAACAGATTTGTATGTATACACGAGAGTAAGGGGTACATATGGAGCAATGCTGTCAGTGATATCACAAGTTCCTTGCCCAGTTTGCTGATGCTGCGCTACGAAAGATTGATCAAGCTGAGTGTACTCAGTCGAACTCATTTTGAGCTCAACAACTGTCCTCAGCACTGACTGGCTCCTCTGCCAGGACGCTGACAGCTTGAACACTCTCAAGGGGGAGGCTCAGAAAGAAAGATGCACAAAGTTCGAGCTTGCTCCAGAGAAACGTTCAGCTGAGTGGTCTCATCATGGTGCGGCATTGCGTCGGGCTCCCAAAAAGTCCGCGAGTTGCATTTCAAACGAATGTTTGTTGAAATAAGGGCCAAACTTTCATTGGCTTAACTTTCACATAGGCCCAGAGTCGTTGATTGTAAGTTTTGTGTAAAGCAAAGCCATCTTGCCATATAGCTGCAGTATATATGACATTTGAGTGGGCAAAACGGAAGCGCCAGGTGCCTCACTCTGGAAGCAGTTTTTTCACCTTGGCTCCATGCTTCCTTGCGCTTTCACTTTATCCGCCCAAACTTCAGCCATAAATTCAGGCAAGTTAGGGATTTGCCCCTCCCCTCCATCAAAGAGCTGTGCTGTGAATGTTCAAGCAGCCACTTGCTGGTCATCTGACTAACAGTCGGACAAATAGACGTTGGCACAATCATCGGCACAATAAGCACCACCTCTTGTTGAAGAAGATGCAGCGCTTACACAAAGCACGGTGCAATCTAAAAGCAGAGTGGATTCAAACCAAAGGTTTCAAAACAACACCGAGACACCCTATAGCCACGATACACGATCTTCAAGGCAAATGTCAAGGAAATATGAGAAGGTACTCACATCAAGCATCTTGCCACCCCAGCTCACCACATAAACCAGAACGTTTTTGCATCAACTCTTGGTAAACAGAGGCTTTTGGAAAAACCATAGAACAAGCGGAGTGACGAAACTCACCGCAAGCAACTGCTGCCCCAATTCCACCGCGGACACATCATGTGGCGCCAGCCCCTCATCTAAAAAGAACTCCACCGCCTCTGTTCCCTGAAATGTCTGCTTATACATCCGGAACCCCACCCGGCGATCCTTCTTTGGCACGCCCTGAAAGAGCTTCTCGGCAATTGCCGAGAGCTCGCCGGAGCCCAAACGGCGATGCATTGTTCCTGTTCAGAATTAATTCCTGACGTCCAGTCACTGAATGTTGTAAAAGTCCGTTGCAGAAAATGTACGGCAAGTTCTGGGACTGGGGACTGGTGACTCTTTCCAAGGTAGGAGCTTGGCAAAGCAACTGGTGCTAGTGGTGGGCGATGAATTTCTCACAAAGGCTCTCTAGCAGCTGTTGAGTTTTGAGATATTTGGAGGTATCACAGCGGCTCATGGAGCGTAGACACCAATCAAAGAACTTTGCGTGGAGAATTTAAGGAAGTCAGGCACTATCCTCTGCCTCTCAATGGCAATCCAGATGTTTGCAGATCACTGAAAGCAGTTGCAATTGATTGCCTTCCTTTACTTCTGCTTTTTGCTACCACCGGACAACGGTCTCTCTCTATGAAAGTTTATGAAGACACCGTAGCTTCGAAAGGTGTCACAGAGATCTAGCACACAATGAAGACGAAAGTAACCTTGAATCCGAGAGCTCTGCGGCTCAGCACAAAATTCAACGAAGGAACCAGCTTATGGGGTCCTTGCCCCGAGCTCGCACTTTGGTGTTCAGTCATTAGGGGGCGCAGAGCCGTACAGGGGGGAAGATTCAAACTCAAGAATCCGACGGAGCCTGAGGTGAAGACTCGAGAGTTGTTTCTGAAAGTTTTCCTTCGAGTTCAATCAATGGTGTCCTTGCATCACCGATTTACCGGGTCCCGGTATACCTAGGTATACGGGAGGTATACCGTATCTTCGCAGCGTGCCTCGGAAGGAAAACCCTAGAGGCTAGGCCGGTATTCGGTAAAAGGCTGTAAGGATTTCAGCAACTGAGCAGTTTATGGTGTCACACAGTGTCACAGCGCCGGGCGCCGGGCACGCAGAGCGCACACTTGCATTGAGGGAAGGCTGCACAGTTACTTACCGGTAGGTATTGCACTAGTGCAGCAGGCAGGAGTCTCCGGCGCCCGCGCGGCGCGGAGCTTATGCGCACCACTGCACTGGCCAGTCAAGCGGTACCCCGGTACCATTGCGTGCCCTGAAAAGCAGTGCGCATTGAAAACGTGCACCAGACGCACCTGCACGCAGCGTGGATAGCGCTGACTTCGATCAACCAATAATATACGGTACCTGTTTGGAATTCAATTTGTATATTCTTCCCCTTGACGTGGTTGTGGTTACCGGACGTAACCGGAGATTACAAAAGCGAAGTGTGATGGGTGCCTCCCGTAACGGAGTGTTCAGGACCGAGCTTGGAACTTCACAGCTACGCTGCGGCCTGCCAATCAAATAGGTTAAACAGGTAGTCGTTTGTTAGTGGGCGTTACAACTATTACAGCGACAAATTTGACACACATTCTTCAAAACAATGTCTACGGCAATGCTACGGCATTCAATGATCAGCCGCACTTACTCCAGGGCTGGTTCTCTCTAATCATCAGCGTCAAGTTCTCCCAAGGAAGATTGGACTCCGATAACTCTCGTGTGACCTAAGAGCCGTGTGACCTAAGATACGCACCCGGGGGACGGGTGGGGTTGGTACGGTGGTTAGGGTGGGTTGGGGTGCGGAGCGGCTGATTAATTGGGTTAGGTTTTTTAGTTTGAGGTGCCCTGGTTACTCGTATCTTGGGTCACACGCCCGTTAGGTCACACGAGAGTTACCGGTATGTTTCTAACTTCGTATTCCTATGTACTCGAATTTCATGTACCTACCGGTATAAGGACGGTACTGTAGATTGCACGTACGACCTCAAACTTCTCTCCGACCATTTTAAGCTACCCGGGCTATTCTATTCAAAAGCCCTAACCTGAGAGTTTAAGTGCTTTTAGGCCCTATTGTAGCCTAACTCAAATTAACCACAACTATCTCCCGGGTGCTGTCAGGGCACGACATACCTACTGGTAATTCTTGTCACCAGCCGCCAGCGGTCACACACGGTACCAAAGACGAACTCATCACATTCGTGTTTGACACGTAGGACCTACGATACGTACCTACCGACCATACCATACCTTCGTACCCAGGGCAGTGAAATCACCGTATGCACGGTTAATGTCACGACGGCAAAGATCACATTAACGTGTCGAAGGGATCATCCCCAACTCGCCATGGGCGGCACTAGGCGCACACGTGCTTTTGAAGTTTGGGTACTACCGTAACGGTACCGTGTGCGCTGGCGGCAGGCCGCCTAGCCTACAGCAAAGAGTGACGACAGCCCGGTATGCACCGGCTCCGTACAAGCCTTCAGCTCTGAAGATTCAATCGGGGAATCTCTTACGAGTGTCCACATCACGATATGAAACTAGGTACCTAGGTACCTAGGTCCTATCCTCCGGTACCTAATCACCGGAAAGCCGTATTTCTAGCAGTGTGCTCACGCGACTCGGATTCGTGGACCGTGGTTTACCAGGCACCTGAACGCCGGTACCGCGGGGCCCACTAAAAATAGGTAGCCAATGCAGCAGGTACCGGTACCTAGGCACCGGTACCTAGTCCATGCGCGGTACACTCTGGCATGCCAAGGGTGTGTACATCTTTCTTACCGCGCTCCCTTCAAGTTCAGCCTCTTCCAAGTTGTGCCTGAGCCTGGCCCTGAGCCCTTGGCAGTGCTGCGGCTTGTAGCGGCTGGCATTGCAGATAAAAGGCTTCGAAAGCTGTCATTTCGACAGGCGCCGCTTTCAGGGTGCAGCACTAGCTGAAGTTCTCCTTTCAGATAAGGAGCAACCAGTGAGATTCAGCAGGCATTCCGTAGGCCGTTCTATTGAAAGGTGAGCTTGCAGTTGCTCAAAGTGGCACGCCTTCGTTTGCCAATGGAGTAAGGTAGAGCCAGAAGGAACAGGACCTCAGGGCCTGGAAGTCCGCGTCGTCCAGTGGTCTTGCAGTGGAAAAGTCCTTGGGTAGTGGAAAAGTCTTCTGTAGGTCTTCTGTGGCACTGTTCGCGTGCCAGTGTTTCTGTGTGCCAAGCACTACCTGTTGCCGCAATGTTGCTAGACATTGCGGCAACAGCCCTTCTGTGTGGTCTTTGTGGTGCTGGCTTCTAAGATGTGTACATGGAAGGGGGTGGGAATACTGTTCCCAATTTCATTCTTCTCTGCTCTTCCATGATCAGCTGAGGGGGAAAGGAGTCGTTGTGTTCAGAGGAGATGTTACAAGCTAGAGCTACTCACTATTGTGAATGCCATCGCTTCAGCACCTGTTCCTGTGTCATTTTCTTGACACTTTGCCTTACTTCAAAGTTCTTTTCTGTCTGTCTGTCCTGCGCCTTCCTTACTTTCCTTCTTTCATCTGCAATCATTGCACCCCAAGAAATGGTTTGTTGAAACCACCCTGAAGAGCTGGCCTCCTTCAGTTCTTAAATAAGCTTCCTGTGTTTGCTGCAGACCATCCCCCTGAGCACAATGGTGCCTCTCAAAGTGGTGTCAGTGGCAACGCTGTGTCTTGCAGCGACTCTCTTGCTCCAGGTAAGCGTCGCACACCTCTCCCAAAGCTGTGGTTTTGAGACAAGTTTCTTCCAAGTCATACGTCTTTGAGAGGGGTTTGGAGGATCTGTTGCAGTCAAACATGGTGCCTCGCAGCGTCTTGTTCGCTTCAAGTAAGCGTTACAACCGCTGCAAACTTGGGTATGTAAAGTGACAACTCTTCTTTAAGGTTGAACAAATTTCGAAGGTTTGGAGTGGGCGAGAGTTGTATAGTTGGTCCTCTGAGCTAGCGTACTGTGTTTTCTCGAAGTCACCGCATTGTCAGGGCAGCTGTGCTTTGTTAAACAGAGACTTGACCTGGTGACAGCAATGTTGCCTTTCTGGGAAACGTTTATTCAGATGCTCGTCATCTGCAAGAAGTTTTCCAATCATAGGATTCCTCTTCTGGCTGCAAGTCCTGCAGATTTTCTTTAGATTTAAGAATCACTCTTGCGTGCTCGGTTTCTGGCTGAGATGTGCAGGCCAATGTAGGGCAGGTCTGGCACAATGGTGTTGTGTTTTCAGCATTGTGAAAGCATTGTGACAGCATCTCCTTCCTTCTGCCAGGTTGATGCTCGTGTTTTGACCAGTCCAACCAGGGACCTCCTTGCTTCACTCAGTGAGTGTCCAGAGCTTGGGCCGGCTACTTCTACAGCAGCGGCAATTGAGGGTTGTTGACATAGGCCGTTTTGGTGCTCCCTGAGCTGTGTCGTAGATTGACTCCAACTTCCAAAAGTGGACGTTTGAACATGTTGCTTGAAATCATCATCCTCATTGGATTGGAAAGAGACAATTCGGTTCGTTGATATCTGACAGGCCGTTGAAAATCTGGTGTTCATCAAAATTTGCTGGAAGAAGGAAGTCCCCTAAGATTGGTCTCAGAAGCTTGGTGTCCCCCACTGCTGAGGCCCAACATCAGATAAGCTATTGTGGTCCCTCAAGAATCAGACTAGGTGACCAGCATTGATCAGTGTGCGCGAAGGTTGCGTTACTCTAGAGTTTTCTCTTAGGACTTTCTACATTCCAGTAGTCAGCAATCAAGGTCCAAGGCATTCCAGTAGAGAAGCTTGTTTGATCCTCAAAGCAAAGCTCAGTCACACCGCTTGTCTTTCTTACCTTTTGCCTTTCTTCTGCTCTGCTCAGACAACGGCTGCGACGGCGGGAGCCCCACCTGCTACACAAACAATGGTGCGGACGGCTACTGCTGTCCCGAGGGTTACAACTGCTTTGCCAGTGACAAGTTCTCGTGCTATGAGGCGAGCGGCTCGTACCCCAGCGAGCCAGACCTCATTGTTGGCGAGAATGTTGCGGGTAAGTGGGATACACATGCTCAAAACCCTGGGTCAATGTAGAAATAGAAGAGACAGAATTCTGTATGCTCAGAGGCCTTGCTGGCATGTCGCCCTTGCCGGACTCGTGGCCTTGATAGGGAAGTCTGTTGCAGCTGAATCAAGAGCTCAACCCTCCGCCGAGTGAAACTAATGTATCTGCTGCTCTTGTATGCAACAAATATAAGGTGTGGTAAATCAACTATTGTAGGCCAACTGTGGGCAAGACTGAAGCTGTGGGCAAGCTTGAAGCAGAAATGAGCACGTTCAGAAGTCTGGAGGAAGTGTCATGGGGTTGTGAACCTTCTCTCAGACGTTCGTCTCAGATTTTGGAAATCGAGCAGCATATGGTCTCCAGCTGGATGTTTCGATTCTGGACTCAGGGCATTCACTGCGAGGCAACTAAGCTGTTTCCGCAGAATGAGCTCGAAAGCTGTACTGAAGAGAGCCGGAATGCGGAAAAGTACAAGAGAGCAAATTGCATCGGGAAAGAGACAGGTACTCACCAGTCCACCAAGGGTGTCTCTAAGCCAAGCGTTCCCATTACAGGCGGCGGCGTTTCCTCTGGCAACTCGGAATTTCCCAGCAGCAGCGACCCAGAGTGCAAGAACACCCCTGGACGCAGCAACCCCTGCTACTCCACTGACGGCAGTGTGAACGTGTGCTGCTCCAATGCTTGCGGGCCCACAACCAAGCAGGGCTACCCCACCTGCTCAGGTAAAGGAGCTTTTTCACACGCCCTTGAGTCTGCAATGCATGTCGGTGGTTAAATATGGAACCTTTCATACAACTTTGCGCTGAGTTGGCTTCTAAGTGGAAAGAGGAACCCGGCCCATGCAGCGTCAATTTTGCATGCTGCTCACGACATTCTAGAAGTTCGCTCGTCTTGTGAGCTCAGTCCGGCTTTTGATCAAAGCTAATCCAGGGGCCTGAATAGTCGACAGTCCCGCTGCTAAGTCCTTCGTCTACCCATCTTCAAAGTTCGATCACACATACCTTCTTATGCACTCAGCACCTTCTTATGCACTCAACATCCTATCTCCGATAAACCTCTGACGCACTACTTCTCGGGTTAACTCATTCTCGGGTTAGCACTCGGGTTAACTCATTCTCGGGTCAGCACTCAACATCTTATCTCCAATAAACTTCTGATGCACTCATTATCGGGTTAACTTATTCTCGGATTAACTTTTGAGCACAACATCTCGTCTCTTCTCATGCACCAAGTCCACAAACTCTCTGCTGACTGCAGGCCAGTGCTCTGGCCCCTCCCAGCTGCTGTACGTCTGGGCCGGTGTCAGTTCCGATGGCGCAAACTCCAGCGCCCGTGACTACGTTGGAGTCGTCTCCATTGACCGCAACAATCAGTACGGCAAGGTAGGACAGCTGTATAGTTCATTTATTGCGGACGCACTCAGGGGTTGGATTGGCTGGTAGAGTCTACCTTTTTCTGGTTGACGTCGAATTACAATGGAGTCAAATGGAGTCAAAGGCGTTCGTGGAGTCATAGGCGTTCGAACTGGTGCAAAGTCGGTAGATTTTGCCGAGGATCCGCCGCTTTTTATGCATCTGATGCAGTCCTGCTGGTTATCAGCGTCCCTCGAATCTTGGTTACATTCGTTCTCTGGTTGCCTCTCTTCTCAACAGCCTCACCGTTTAAACGCTCTCCTGCCTCACAAAAGCAACACAACTCTTCCTTCCTCAAAAGTGCTTCGAAAGCTGGTCCTGTTGTCTGAGTACGAAAGCCCCCCTCAGTTTCTTTGCTCCTCTCACCCTTTCTCCTTTCTCATCGTTTCTGCCCCTTCCCCTGCAGCTGCTGTACCGCGCCGAGATCCCCTACGCCGGCACCGAGGCGCACCACATGGGTCAGTCCCCCGACAACAAGTTCCTCGTCGCCGGGGGGGTGTTTTCCAGCGTCCAGGGACTCCCCCAGGTGTTCTTCTACGACATCGCTGACGACCCGTACCACCCGCTGTACACCGGTGACATCGACCCCAAGAATAGCGGCATCACCGACCAAGTCGTGTTTGACAGCCAGGGCCGCGCCATCATCACTCAGGTGCGTTCTGAAGATCGGTTCAGAAAGGAGTATTAAGTTCTGAAGATCGGTTCAGAAAGGATTGTAAAGTTCTGGAGATCGTTTCAGAAAGGAGTGTTAAGTTCTGGAGATCGGCTCAGCAAGGAAGTGTCAACAGAAGATCGGCTCAGAAAGAAAGTGTCAACAGAAGAAGTTTGTGGATCGGCTTAGAGGGGAAGAGATGTGTCAACAGAGATTCCCCAAACTTAGAGCATCGAGATTTGTCAACAGAAATTTCACAGATGCTCTAAATCTGTGAAATTTCTGTTGACAAATCTCGATGCTCTCAGTAGTGCTATAGATACTCTTGAGCTCCTCAGGGATTCTGATAAGAGTCGGCTGAGAGTGTTGCATCTTCCGTGACGACCTCAGAAGCTGAAGTTCCCCTGCTTCGACGGTTCTGTGCCCCGCAAAGAAATCGAGTGATTGACGCGTCGAGTCTGCGCGATTTAATTGGATATGAGCGCATTGATGACCCCAATTCCACCCTATCACCGGACTCAGAGATGGTCAAGAAAGTGAGATGGTAAAGAAATCGATGGTTAGGAACCTGAGATGGTGAAACAATCTCTCAAGCTTCAAAGAGTATCCCATCACTCGCAAAACCCACAGCCTCCGCTCCCACTCCCAAAACCCACAGCCTCCGCTCCCACTCCCAAAACCCACAGCCTCCGCTCCCACTCCCAAAACCCACAGCCTCCGCTCCCACTCCCAAAACCCACAGCCAAGGGAAAGCGCTGGCCGTTCGATCTGCAAAACCCACAGCCGAAGACAAACGTTGGCCGTTCGATTTGCAGATGGGCTCCTACACTGGCGGCACCCCCGGTCGCCTCCTCGAGGTCTATCCCCCCTTCCCGACCGACCTCGCCTCCGGCCTCAAGCCCGCCTTCGCTGAATACGGCACGGGGGGTCCCGGCGAGGACACAATGAACCCCCACGGACTGGACGTGAACGCCGACTCGACCATCGCAATTACCGGAGACTTCATCGAGCCCGTTTCGCTCTTCGCGGGATCCCCTGACCAGATCAAGTTCCGCGACACCATCCGCATCTGGCGCCGGAACGTGAACGGAAGCACCGGGTGGACCAACACCAAGACGTTCACCGTGCCCGGGGCTGGGGGCGTGCAGGACGTGCAGGTGCGGTGTTCCGTTTCCGGTCGTACACTGTGTTCCGGTCATACACGCGTCAGTCTCCGGCGGCAGGATTGATCACGACAGAGTCAAGTCTTGCTCATGTGTTCTGGTAATGACCGCGTCTTTCTCTGGTGGCGAGATAGGATCTTGTTCAGGGTCCATTCGTTTTCATTTGTTCATCTATTTCATCGTTCTCGCGTCTTTCCCTGGCGGCAGAATGGAATCTTGTCAATCCAGACGAAATTTGCCATTTCATCGTTCTCGCGTCTTTCCCTGGCGGCAGAATGGAATCTTGCCGATTGATAGACTAGACGCTGGAGGCTTGAGACGGCAACTTACACGAAATCTGCCTTTCT